AAAGAATTTAACATTAACGACATGCAAAAGATAAAAACTTTCATTGTAAACAATACAGTAAGATTCCATTTGGTAGTTGTTTTTGCTACTAGCTTTTTGCTTGCAAAAGCAGAAAGTAAGTATGGGTAGAAAAGACAATAATACTTTAAAAGAATTAAAAATAAAAAATATAATCTCTTGTAGAACAAAATTCTATGATTTCTCTTTTAATAGAACAATTATACTACAAATTATATTGCATTTAATCATATTTATTTTCAAACAATTATTACTTTGCTTTCTCCCTTTTAGGTTTGTTCTTTAGAAACCATTTAGGAAGCCAAAAGCAACTAGAAAAAACATAGGAAGAGTAAGGACCAATAACAGCCTAAATTCTCATAGCCATATTTGCATCAAGTCCACCGGAAGAATGACCATACAGTCTAAGCAGGAAAAAAAAAAAAGAAGAAAAAGAGTTTATGTTTTTATTTTTGGTAAGAAAAAGCTGGGAAAAACCGTATTGCACAAAAACTGTAACAGCAAATAAAGCTGAAGGGTGTGTTTCTAGAAATTATATTCTCCTGCAAATCCAATTATTACCTGTGCACAATATCCATAAGAACAAGTAGACCCAACTTGTGAACCCTATTTATCAGTGACTTAAGATCATCACGGGTTCCAAAATGGCTGCTTGGTGCAAACAAGTTTGTCACATGATACCTGCAACATATTAAATGCAACTTGTTAAAAGTAGAAGAGGTTAGTTTCCATAACCAAAACTAAATTCTGAAGAAATATTTCTGTTTACGTCCAAAACATAACATTTTAGTACAAGTTAACAAACATAAACAGCAACAAATAAAGATGAGCTGATATTTTGATGGAGATAATACCCAAATCTAGCATAATACAAGTGCTCTTGAATAGCCATGATTTGAATAGCATTATATCCAAGTCTTTTAATGCGGGGAAGCACATCATCTCTAAAGTTGGTATATGTGTTAATTATTGGCTCCTGCATCTCAGAGTTGATAATATTAAGAAAACTAGGAAATGGATTAACCATACCAAAGTTTACCATGGAAGATAAAGACTAATGGTGTTTGTGGGACAAATTTTCTTTGAATGACAGTATGACGAAAACTAGAGATAAATTTTGGTTTAATTGCAAATTTAAGCTTCTTAATGGGTTTTAGAAATGGGTGAAGAATCATAATGAAATGCAATCAAACCAACTTCTATGTTATTAATTTGAAATTGCTATTTAAGATATTTCTATGCACAAAGCAGTTACCAGAGATCCAAGTCATTAGCTGTTTGGCATTTGCATTATCATTAAACTAAAGTAATACTCATTATTTAGTATAATCCAAATGGAAAAACTTCCTTTAACCAAATACGAAAAGTAGGCCGTATACACCTACGTGGCTATTTGCTAGCTTAATTTGACAGATTTTCTCTTTTAAGAGAGGCCACCCTGCCTACGGGATGCAGTAAAGTTCTATTTCAAAATTTACAGGCCTTTCCAGATAGCTATATTGTTTGATGCTCTTAAAGGTGTTCAATGCAAGTCAAAAATGTTCTCTCTATCTTCTTTTTTTTTTTTTGGGGGGGGGGGGGGGGTTAAATTTGATGGTTTAAATACTAGAAAAAAGATAAGTTTTCCTATAAAATGTATTGTCTTATAAAACCTCCTGTTTTACTTTTCGATCTCAAAACCTTGCAAGAACACTTCACAGGAAGGGTCGAAAAGAAATAGCATAAAAATATGATCCCACACGTGATAGCATTAAATGAAGCTTTTTATCAAACTTAAGGTTTCCTCTTTTAAGATTAAATAAACCAAGGAAGTGCAATTCAGCACAGAGACAAAAGAGTTGAATAACAATTTGCTACATGCAAAGGAATAGGAATATGCATACCATGCTACTCATTCCAACATGTGATTCATAGACTTAAATGATTTTGGTCCTCTTTGGCTGGGGGTGTTTGGAATACATACTTTTCCTGTTACAGTATAAAAATCATTAGTCAGTTGGAGAGTACAAAAATTTGAGATAAGACACATAGTACAGACTAAACTAAGTTGACTGTGCTGTGCAATGATTAAACTTGAACAAGCGAGAACACAATTTAGAAACTGACTTCATATATGAAAAAGAACCAATCAAAATTGTTTTTTTAAAAACCTTTAAGGGCATTGATCTTAATATTAACGTTCTAAAGGAAGACATTCATCAAAACAACCTACTCTAAGATGAATAAGAAATTCATTATTTGTTTATATAATCAATTAATCATATTTGTGCGTAGGCATGCATGCATGCTATTGTCTATGTATCTTCACACACATACAGTCATTTTAAAATTATCATAAACATTAGTTGGTATTTCTGATTTTCCCCAAGCTCCAAATATTTCATATGCTTATAGTTTTTAAAAGAATAAGTTATCTAATCTTTCCAACAAAACCAAAATATCAAACAGCCACTAACTATACCTCTTCTGGCATACCATAGTACATTCTGTTGCATGGGATTTCACTTGGTGCTTGAACAGAGGACTTGATCTAAGCAGGAATGGAGTCCTTAATCCCAGATGGAGTTTCCATACAAATCTGCAATTATATGGTCAAAAAGTTAAAATGGACACATGGAAAAAGAGGTTTGGATGAATGATAATTGACATGATCATAACAGTCCAACAAAAAAATGTTTTTTTGCTCATCTTCATCTTTTCTTTCTTTCTCCCTTCTTTTTGGGGTAGGAGTTAGTTGGATTTGAACTCAGCTACCTTGAATAATTTTGATTGCCTTGGAGACCACCCCATTAAATACTTCAATGCCTTTATGTCATGAATTCTAGTAATTAATTATTGTAAAGGTTGTAGTACAAACCACTGATTTATTCAAACCATATACACATGCAATAGGATCAATGTAAAAAAAAAAAGCATCATACTAAGGTTCCTGGTCCACAGATCATGATCAAAAGGTTAAATACATTGTTGATCTACAGGGAAAGAGTTGCAAGTTTTTATACTTTCTTTTTACTCTGACTTAAAAAGTGGCAAAAGGAAATAATAAACAAGTAGCATTTGAATGTAAGCTCAATAACTTTTAAGAGCCAAACTTATGTTCATCTACAGGTAATTTACCTTCACTTGAGAACCATGGGGAATTGGTGGTGAATAATCAGCATTATTAGGCCAAAAGATCTCCCAGACACCAAACTCATTCTGTTAAAAAACAATTAATATTTGTAGAATTGACCATTAGATGTTATTTAAATATAGAAATAGACAATAAATCACTGCCAATGTAAATCAACATAGCTTTCTAAGCACTTAAAACACATTCACCTTCCCTTTTATACTTGAAACTGCATGGCATTAAATATATGAATTAGCTAATACAATTATTTGTTACATAAGCAAGGTGACTTTTGCACTTAATTATAGAAACTTTGACAGGGTTTATCTTCTTAACTTTTTCTATTTGGAGCTTTTAAGAATACCAACTGCACCAGACTATACACCTAATCTTCAGTCCATTAAGACATTAAGAAGAACATTCATGCTCACATACATATATATGTATATATATAAAGTCCATGTTTACATTCAGATTTAACATTAAGCTAAATGTTTTGACAAACCAAACTTAGATAACTTTTAACTTCTTTCAACAGTTGCATTTAGAGAAGACATAAGCATCGCTTATGAACAGTTGGTATAGAAAATACTACAGTTTCTTGAGGCATACATCTTAGAGCACATGGGTCAGAGTCAAAGAGAAAAGCAGGGGAGAATTGATTATTATGATAGATGACAATTTAAGATGGTGGAAGTCTACCTTCAACTATTGTTTCTTTTCCTCTTCAACATTCACAGAACATAAAGAATGTTATTTTTGTAAATAATATATGAAAATCTGCAACTAAATCACTCCAATATAAACATTTTATCAATTAAATGTTCCTTACTATGCTAATATTTCTAAAGGGTAAAACATAAATTACCTTTTATTGTGCTAGTAGCTCTTTAGGTGAATTATTTGTACAAAAGATGAAATATGTGAAAAGCAAGGATATTTTAAGATTTCTAGAGATTCTTGTTTGTTCCTTTCAAGTGTTTTTGGAATTTTCATTTTTGGCATCTTTAGTTGCTATGTTTCCATAACTCTTGGTTTACAATAAAAATTAGTTCAATTTACAACAAGCATTTTTTTCAATTCTTTAGTTCATTCTACAATATCAAAACACTTAACAACTAGCAGGGTAACCTACTTACTCATGGCATATGAATTCAATTGATGCATGAAGAGAAGTGATGAAGCAGTAGAGAATTAGAAAAACATGTACAATACACAAATGTTTGGTAGGCTTACGCACAGACAAGTACATGTGTGCAAACTTTTTCAAAACCATTTCTACACTTAGCATCCTCATGGATCACGTAAAAAAGTATTGAAACCCCATTCCATTTACGCAACCCAGTGCAACAAATGTTGCTGTAAAGGAGACAGGAGACTTAAAGCGGACATCATAATTCTGGAACAGAAAAATGATTATAAGTCGAAGGATGCTCAATGTGACTCAAAGAAGAGTTATAGAACATACATCCTAACCAATGGTGACAGCCTCAGGTTGTAGCCCATGAATCATATGATTAACCAGCATCAGATAAACAACAGCATCTACATCAGTTGCTTATCCGAAATACTCATTGTAGTTTCCAGTAAATGCTACCTACAGCAAGTTCAAGAAAACAAAGGTTAAGCCGGGATAATACATTATAATGATGCAATGACACTAACAACCTTTAGTCCTCAAGAGAATTTAGTTAAGAAACAAACATAGAGAAATGATGCTTCACCACTTACAAGAACCAAATGTTACATCAGTTCTACTTCTCTATATAACATAAAGTCAAAACTTTGATAATTAACATCTGAACATGCAAGTAACTTATTATATAACACCAAGCAAAATAGAAAATTTGCAAACTCACTCAGATATTACCTGCAACCCATGATGGGTGTACATCATTGAAGTCACACCATCAAATCTGAACCCATCAAACTTGTATTCGTCCAGCCACCATCTTGCATTTGAAAGAAGAAACCTTAGTACCTAAAGCAACAAGTAAAAATTAATATTTACACACAATAGGATGGAAGGAAGCCAAAATCTTTCAACAAGCTATTGTTTAAGAGAAGTTTCAGTAGAAGTACATACTTCCCACCTACCATAATTAAAAAGGAAAGAATCCCACATCCAATGGTGACCCTTTGACCTCGAGTGGAAGTAATGAGCATCGGTTCCATCAAACATGTTCAATCCATCTAACATATTATTAGATGCATGGCTGTATTAGTCAAACATTAGTAAGATACAAAGATGGATGAGAAAATTAATTAATAACTTAATTTAACTAAAGAATAAAAAATTAATTGAGACTTATAGCAAAAGATTACTCACTCAAAGCAACAGAGCAAATACTTGAATAAAAATTTGCTACAACTTAGAAAAGAATTTAACATTAACGACATGCAAAAGATAAAAACTTTCATTGTAAACAATACAGTAAGATTCCATTTGGTAGTTGTTTTTGCTACTAGCTTTTTGCTTGCAAAAGCAGAAAGTAAGTATGGGTAGAAAAGACAATAATACTTTAAAAGAATTAAAAATAAAAAATATAATCTCTTGTAGAACAAAATTCTATGATTTCTCTTTTAATAGAACAATTATACTACAAATTATATTGCATTTAATCATATTTATTTTCAAACAATTATTACTTTGCTTTCTCCCTTTTAGGTTTGTTCTTTAGAAACCATTTAGGAAGCCAAAAGCAACTAGAAAAACATAGGAAGAGTAAGGACCAATAACAGCCTAAATTCTCATAGCCATATTTGCATCAAGTCCACCGGAAGAATGACCATACAGTCTAAGCAGGAAAAAAAAAAAGAAGAAAAAGAGTTTATGTTTTTATTTTTGGTAAGAAAAAGCTGGGAAAAACCGTATTGCACAAAAACTGTAACAGCAAATAAAGCTGAAGGGTGTGTTTCTAGAAATTATATTCTCCTGCAAATCCAATTATTACCTGTGCACAATATCCATAAGAACAAGTAGACCCAACTTGTGAACCCTATTTATCAGTGACTTAAGATCATCACGGGTTCCAAAATGGCTGCTTGGTGCAAACAAGTTTGTCACATGATACCTGCAACATATTAAATGCAACTTGTTAAAAGTAGAAGAGGTTAGTTTCCATAACCAAAACTAAATTCTGAAGAAATATTTCTGTTTACGTCCAAAACATAACATTTTAGTACAAGTTAACAAACATAAACAGCAACAAATAAAGATGAGCTGATATTTTGATGGAGATAATACCCAAATCTAGCATAATACAAGTGCTCTTGAATAGCCATGATTTGAATAGCATTATATCCAAGTCTTTTAATGCGGGGAAGCACATCATCTCTAAAGTTGGTATATGTGTTAATTATTGGCTCCTGCATCTCAGAGTTGATAATATTAAGAAAACTAGGAAATGGATTAACCATACCAAAGTTTACCATGGAAGATAAAGACTAATGGTGTTTGTGGGACAAATTTTCTTTGAATGACAGTATGACGAAAACTAGAGATAAATTTTTGGTTTAATTGCAAATTTAAGCTTCTTAATGGGTTTTAGAAATGGGTGAAGAATCATAATGAAATGCAATCAAAACCAACTTCTATGTTATTAATTTGAAATTGCTATTTAAGATATTTCTATGCACAAAGCAGTTACCAGAGATCCAAGTCATTAGCTGTTTGGCATTTGCATTATCATTAAACTAAAGTAATACTCATTATTTAGTATAATCCAAATGGAAAAACTTCCTTTAACCAAATACGAAAAGTAGGCCGTATACACCTACGTGGCTATTTGCTAGCTTAATTTGACAGATTTTCTCTTTTAAGAGAGGCCACCCTGCCTACGGGATGCAGTAAAGTTCTATTTCAAAATTTACAGGCCTTTCCAGATAGCTATATTGTTTGATGCTCTTAAAGGTGTTCAATGCAAGTCAAAATGTCTCTCTATCTTCTTTTTTTTTTTTTGGGGGGGGGGGGGGGTGGGTTTAAATTTGATGGTTTAAATACTAGAAAAAAGATAAGTTTTCCTATAAAATGTATTGTCTTATAAAACCTCCTGTTTTTACTTTTCGATCTCAAAACCTTGCAAGAACACTTCACAGGAAGGGTCGAAAGAAATAGCATAAAAAATATGATCCCACACGTGATAGCATTAAATGAAGCTTTTTATCAAACTTAAGGTTTCCTCTTTTAAGATTAAATAAACCAAGGAAGTGCAATTCAGCACAGAGACAAAAGAGTTGAATAACAATTTGCTACATGCAAGGAATAGGAATAGGCATACCATGGCTACTCATTCCAACATGTGATTCATAGACTTAAATGATTTTGGTCTCTTTGGCTGGGGGTGTTTGAATACATACTTTTCCTGTTACAGTATAAAAATCATTAGTCAGGTTGGAGAGTACAAAAATTTGAGATAAGACACATAGTACAGACTAAACTAAGTTGACTGTGCTGTGCAATGATTAAACTTGAACAAGCGAGAACACAATTTAGAAACTGACTTCATATATGAAAAAGAACCAATCAAAATTGTTTTTTAAAAACCTTTAAGGGCATTGATCTTAATATTAACGTTCTAAAGGAAGACATTCATCAAAACAACCTACTCTAAGATGAATAAGAAATTCATTATTTGTTTATATAATCAATTAATCATATTTGTGCGTAGGCATGCATGCATGCTATTGTCTATGTATCTTCACACACATACAGTCATTTTAAAATTATCATAAACATTAGTTGTATTTCTGATTTTCCCCAAGCTCCAAATATTTCATATGCTTATAGTTTTTAAAAGAATAAGTTATCTAATCTTTCCAACAAAACCAAAATATCAAACAGCCACTAACTATACCTCTTCTGGCATACCATAGTACATTCTGTTGCATGGGATTTCACTTGGTGCTTGAACAGAGGGACTTGATCTAAGCAGGAATGGAGTCCTTAATCCCAGATGGAGTTTCCATACAAATCTGCAATTATATGGTCAAAAAGTTAAAATGGACACATGGAAAAAGAGGTTTGGATGAATGATAATTGACATGATCATAACAGTCCAACAAAAAATGTTTTTTTGCTCATCTTCATCTTTTCTTTCTTTCTCCCTTCTTTTTGGGGTAGGAGTTAGTTGGATTTGAACTCAGCTACCTTGAATAATTTTGATTGCCTTGGAGACCACCCCATTAAATACTTCAATGCCTTTATGTCATGAATTCTAGTAATTAATTATTGTAAAGGTTGTAGTACAAACCACTGATTTATTCAAACCATATACACATGCAATAGGATCAATGTAAAAAAAAAAAGCATCATACTAAGGTTCCTGGTCCACAGATCATGATCAAAAGGTTAAATACATTGTTGATCTACAGGAAAGAGTTGCAAGTTTTTATACTTTCTTTTTACTCTGACTTAAAAAGTGGCAAAAGGAAATAATAAACAAGTAGCATTTGAATGTAAGCTCAATAACTTTTAAGAGCCAAACTTATGTTCATCTACAGGTAATTACCTTCACTTGAGAACCATGGGGAATTGGTGGTGAATAATCAGCATTATTAGGCCAAAAGATCTCCCAGACACCAAACTCATTCTGTTAAAAAACAATTAATATTTGTAGAATTGACCATTAGATGTTATTTAAATATAGAAATAGACAATAAATCACTGCCAATGTAAATCAACATAGCTTTCTAAGCACTTAAAACACATTCACCTTCCCTTTTATACTTGAAACTGCATGGCATTAAATATATGAATTAGCTAATACAATTATTTGTTACATAAGCAAGGTGACTTTTGCACTTAATTATAGAAACTTTGACAGGGTTTATCTTCTTAACTTTTTCTATTTGGAGCTTTTAAGAATACCAACTGCACCAGACTATACACCTAATCTTCAGTCCATTAAGACATTAAGAAGAACATTCATGCTCACATACATATATATGTATATATAAAGTCCATGTTTACATTCAGATTTAACATTAAGCTAAATGTTTTGACAAACCAAACTTAGATAACTTTTAACTTCTTTCAACAGTTGCATTTAGAGAAGACATAAGCATCGCTTATGAACAGTTGGTATAGAAAATACTACAGTTTCTTGAGGCATACATCTTAGAGCACATGGGTCAGAGTCAAAGAGAAAAGCAGGGGAGAATTGATTATTATGATAGATGACAATTTAAGATGGTGGAAGTCTACCTTCAACTATTGTTTCTTTTCCTCTTCAACATTCACAGAACATAAAGAATGTTATTTTTGTAAATAATATATGAAAATCTGCAACTAAATCACTCCAATATAAACATTTTATCAATTAAATGTTCCTTACTATGCTAATATTTCTAAAGGGTAAAACATAAATTACCTTTTATTGTGCTAGTAGCTCTTTAGGTGAATTATTTGTACAAAAGATGAAATATGTGAAAAGCAAGGATATTTTAAGATTTCTAGAGATTCTTGTTTGTTCCTTTCAAGTGTTTTTGGAATTTTCATTTTTGGCATCTTTAGTTGCTATGTTTCCATAACTCTTGGTTTACAATAAAAATTAGTTCAATTTACAACAAGCATTTTTTTCAATTCTTTAGTTCATTCTACAATATCAAAACACTTAACAACTAGCAGGGTAACCTACTTACTCATGGCATATGAATTCAATTGATGCATGAAGAGAAGTGATGAAGCAGTAGAGAATTAGAAAAACATGTACAATACACAAATGTTTGGTAGGCTTACGCACAGACAAGTACATGTGTGCAAACTTTTTCAAAACCATTTCTACACTTAGCATCCTCATGGATCACGTAAAAAAGTATTGAAACCCCATTCCATTTACGCAACCCAGTGCAACAAATGTTGCTGTAAAGGAGACAGGAGACTTAAAGCGGACATCATAATTCTGGAACAGAAAAATGATTATAAGTCGAAGGATGCTCAATGTGACTCAAAGAAGAGTTATAGAACATACATCCTAACCAATGGTGACAGCCTCAGGTTGTAGCCCATGAATCATATGATTAACCAGCATCAGATAAACAACAGCATCTACATCAGTTGCTTATCCGAAATACTCATTGTAGTTTCCAGTAAATGCTACCTACAGCAAGTTCAAGAAAACAAAGGTTAAGCCGGGATAATACATTATAATGATGCAATGACACTAACAACCTTTAGTCCTCAAGAGAATTTAGTTAAGAAACAAACATAGAGAAATGATGCTTCACCACTTACAAGAACCAAATGTTACATCAGTTCTACTTCTCTATATAACATAAAGTCAAAACTTTGATAATTAACATCTGAACATGCAAGTAACTTATTATATAACACCAAGCAAAATAGAAAATTTGCAAACTCACTCAGATATTACCTGCAACCCATGATGGGTGTACATCATTGAAGTCACACCATCAAATCTGAACCCATCAAACTTGTATTCGTCCAGCCACCATCTTGCATTTGAAAGAAGAAACCTTAGTACCTAAAGCAACAAGTAAAAATTAATATTTACACACAATAGGATGGAAGGAAGCCAAAATCTTTCAACAAGCTATTGTTTAAGAGAAGTTTCAGTAGAAGTACATACTTCCCACCTACCATAATTAAAAAGGAAAGAATCCCACATCCAATGGTGACCCTTTGACCTCGAGTGGAAGTAATGAGCATCGGTTCCATCAAACATGTTCAATCCATCTAACATATTATTAGATGCATGGCTGTATTAGTCAAACATTAGTAAGATACAAAGATGGATGAGAAAATTAATTAATAACTTAATTTAACTAAAGAATAAAAAATTAATTGAGACTTATAGCAAAAGATTACTCACTCAAAGCAACAGAGCAAATACTTGAATAAAAATTTGCTACAACTTAGAAAAGAATTTAACATTAACGACATGCAAAAGATAAAAACTTTCATTGTAAACAATACAGTAAGATTCCATTTGGTAGTTGTTTTTGCTACTAGCTTTTTGCTTGCAAAAGCAGAAAGTATGTATGGGTAGAAAAGACAATAATACTTTAAAAGAATTAAAAATAAAAAATATAATCTCTTGTAGAACAAAATTCTATGATTTCTCTTTTAATAGAACAATTATACTACAAATTATATTGCATTTAATCATATATATTTTCAAACAATTATTACTTTGCTTTCTCCCTTTTAGGTTTGTTCTTTAGAAACCATTTAGGAAGCCAAAAGCAACTAGAAAAAACATAGGAAGAGTAAGGACCAATAACAGCCTAAATTCTCATAGCCATATTTGCATCAAGTCTACCGGAAGAATGACCATACAGTCTAAGCAGGAAAAAAAAAAAGAAGAAAAAGAGTTTATGTTTTTATTTTTGGTATGAAAAAGCTGGGAAAAACCGTATTGCACAAAAACTGTAACAGCAAATAAAGCTGAAGGGTGTGTTTCTAGAAATTATATTCTCCTGCAAATCCAATTATTACCTGTGCACAATATCCATAAGAACAAGTAGACCCAACTTG